CAGCTTAACGTCACCAGAAACCTTAACGAAGCAAGCGAGTCGTTATTTCATGGAAATCTGAGGGCTTGAGCAACCCTAACTAAATAAAATTTGGGTGACAAAATTAAAGATTGATTATCGTATTCATGGAAATTCGCAAAAGCTCGGTTTGTATAATAGAGTGATTTGTTTCATTCCAAGCCCTTCGCGTAGGACTGGAAAAGATGAAAGATGAAAAAGAATCCCCGAGAGGCTCCTACAATTCAGGTCCTCACAGTCTGGGTCGCATCAGTCGAGTGGTTCGAACTGTTGTTGCGATAAATAATAATAATACCTTGTTTATCTTGCAAGCTGAATGGTTTCGATTACTGCGGAAGCGTTTCCAAATGCTGATTAAAAATCAGGCGATGACTCACGGTTACTTTTCTGACGCTCGGTCCGTTGGGAAAGCCTCCCTAGCAATAAAGGTATCGAATAGTATTAATTGCCTATTAAGCACTTATTTCCCTCAAGTCATTATCCTGCTAGCTTTCTATCAGCGAGCAACTTGCAGTGCATATGCATATCTGACTAAGCTGAACTACGGAATTTACGTGCCGGCGGCTGCACTCCATAGAAGTCGTGTGAATTAGCTGTTTCTAGCATGCTTTTCTAAGCTCCAGCGAAGTATGTAGGTTGGGAACAGCTTATTCACGAGTGCGACCGCCATGTCAACTACGTAGACCAGCCTAATCAGGTAGCTAATATGGAACATAGTACATGGTGTGTTAGTATAGGGGACTGGACTGTGAACACTGAATGATGGACGTATGGGTGGCAGGTAAGTGCTAAGTACTTCGATGTCACAAACTTCGTTATCTCTTCGCAGTTTGGCGCAGTGGAAGCAACTGAATAAGAATTCTGATAAGGGTCGCATCGAAGTGTGGATACCACAAGTTCCGTTGCCGCCTTTGCAGTAACAGAGAACCTTGGCTCATACAAGTGGCATGAGGGATAGGACGGGAACACGGATAGTGGTTGATCGAAAGTGATAACAACCGATAACAGTTTGATAAGGAAAGTTAAGAAGAGTACTACTAATTTCCTGCCTTCGTTGCGACAGTAAAACACTAACTCCTCCACATTGCATGGGTGTGGGACGATGGTTGAACGTAGTTTAAACTGAGAACAAAGGGGATGACGATAGGGCATCCTGAATGCACCAACTTCGTTGCAGTCATCACTGGCAAACGACCAAGGGAGCGATGTGTTGATGGTGGGTGACTGAGTAATAAGCGTCAACTATACTGATAAAGCGTGGCTACAACTGAGTGTGCGCTCATTCAAATGAACCGGGTTCTTAGCACGTGATACATTCGATTCCTAACCTCTCACCCAAAAAGCAAAGGAACGTGAGCCACTCAACTTTCTGGACTGACCAATAGCGAATTTCCATCAGAGCTAGGCTAGATGCTGATTGATTGGTTCATATTTCACTTCACACCGATTCTTCAATTGTGGAAAATTCTATAAACCGCTAAATCATCCGAGCTCGATATCAATGCTAAATGTTTACGAAGTCATGATAAGTACCAGCTTCATTCCGCATGCTACTGCGCGCATTACGCGATAATCTTCAGCGAAATTGGACAATCTTTGGATCTCATCTGACGCATCTTTCGAAACATCTTACTATTGGTTTCTCGGCCACGTGGCCTAATATTTTGCGAGTTGTCCAGTCTCACTGAATCCCACATGTGATGCGCAATCGCGTGCGGAGCTAAACTGGTATGTAGTTATTGTGATAAGCAAAATCAAACGAGAATTAGGAATAATTTATTAGTGTACCGAACCGGTCTGATGAATTGCTAAGGCAGTACCGCGCTTTCAGTCTTACACCCAATACACAATTACTGTACCAGGTGGCTATTTTGTATAATAATTGGCCAATGGAAGAGATAGCAGCGTAGAACCCAACGGCTTGTCAATTAAAAACCGTGTGGTTTTCTAAATTTCCCGTATAGTGCGGCTGTTGGCCATCAAAAGTATCGGCCCTGGCGGTGGCGATTGCCAGCGTCATGTTCAAATGACTGCATTACTGCTGCTACAGCATATTTCTACTGCCCAGAGAGTTGTAGAGTTTACTACAGGCGACAATCCCCTTACTGGTTATGCTTTGAGCATGCCATTTTTTGTGTGTTGCTGTTAGCATTACAAGTATTTGTGTACAAGTGCAACAATGAATCGGCGCTGGTCTCAGCAAGCCGCTAGGTAAGTGTCAATCATTTCTAAAATACTTGACATATATTCAATTTCTTATCAAAAAAGTTAGATATAATGTTGTGCAAGATCATAAACTTTTTCGACATAACTAAGAAATTTGGAATTGTTTCGACATAAGCTAAAAACTAAGAAGGTGGCCAATTTTCAAAGCTTCCTAGTTTCTTAGTTTGTGATCGAATAGCTTCCAAATTTCGCCATAATGATATTTATATGCTCACAAGTAATAAACAATAGCTAGAAGAAAAATTTTTCCACGGGAAAAATTCAGGTCCGAAAGGGTTGAAGTCATAGACTTCCCGCACATAACGTAAACCGTTCGCCACTTTGGCGGATTCAGGGGTGGAGTCGAAGGAAGACATCAGTGATCAGTGATGGAAGCGGCAACTGTCACCCTCACTGTGCACTATCTTTCAGCATTGTCGTCGACAGCAGACCTCGATGACGAGTTGCCGAGGTTTCGATTTGGCCATGAAGATTCTTCCTCCACAGAAGACCTCGAACGGCCAGCTCCAGTTCGAAAAAAAGCCATCAGAAATAGGCGGAGCAGTATACCTGATGCGTTTTCTGTAAGTATTCTTCTTGTTCCGAGTTTTTCAGATATTAGATACTTGCTAAGTTACCCTCTGTTTCCAAAAACGAGGTGCGCGTCGGTTGCAGACCACACACCACAAATGACGGAGGCCTCCGCCGTCACTTTTGGTGTGTGGTCTGATCGTATTCTGTCCAAATGATCGGCCAGTTGCAGTTTCATTCTATCAGTTGACCCCAATTACAACCCTTATTTACCAGCTATCAGCTATAGCTATGAACTACTAGATTTAGTTGAGGACGTTATCAATTGGGGTGTACTGGTCTGCACTCGACGCACACCTAGTTCTCAAAAACAGAGGGAAGGTTAGCATTCTAACGGTTTTCGTTTTAGTTCCAGACGCCAGCAATTCTCCATGAAGCGGCGAAGAAGTTTATGCAGAGTAACAGCGAAAAAAAATTAGCTCAGTCTCGTTCACCTCGACAACCGGAAGTAGCGCAGTTACTTCCGAAGAGAGCTGAAGCTAAGAAATCAGGAGTGGGAAAGACTTTGCATGTATGTGTTTTATAGTAGAATAAATGAGTTCAGGAGCGGGATGAGCTGTGTTTCAGTTGAACGTTTACGACTTGCCGGACCTCGAGGAGAAAGGCGAAGATGGGGCGTTTTCTCCACCAAAACTCAAGGATGAAAACGACGAGAACTTTGCACCACAATTCCTCACACAGCAGTCAACCGTGAGTACGCAGCGTTTTTTTCTCATCAGCTTCTAACGGAAGTCTTTCAGATTTCTTCTACGGTTTCGTGTGTGAATCCTAACAACGTACGTGTCCCAAGTATCGAATCGACGCAGGATATTGCACTTTGGTGGGAGTTGGTGAATCAATGACGAATTGTTCACTATGACGTCTCAGTGGAACTTGCTAGTAGAACTGACCATTTACTAATTTAGGAAGTTTTTTATACGTGGTTTCTAGGTATTGAATTTGATTCCGATCCGTAAATAATGCAGCTTTATGTCAGCGTTTTGGAGCGGCAAGGTTGTATCTTAAATGGATTTTCTTCTGATTTCAATTTGCGCGCTTTTACTCCTTCTTTCTGATGATTTCATTGTCTCCCTCCGCCCTCAGGATGCTATGCTCAGCGAAACTTTCACTATACCATTCTGATTCCTATATGAACGACTTCCTTTCTATTTTCAGTGCGCGCAGCTGTGTTTTGATCCGCTGAGATGAGAAGAAATTTTTTAATTCGCGTTAAACCTTTTGTAATGAAATGCGCGCGTTGGTTAATTACGCCTGTGTTGATACGCAGTGTCGGTGAGTGCCTATGACCAATGACCACAGCAGGTCTCACACGTGGTACGTACATGAGCTTTCGATCTTCAAAGGCACAACCCTGGCGGAAGTCGTGTTAACGATTCCTCTTTCAATTATAAGCTGGCAACAAAAAAAGTTGCCATCAATCAGGTGAAATTTCCATTTCGCTATTTATCAGACTATGTCAGTTGCTAGCAGTGCTGCAGCCCTCCACCTCGGGCAGTCTTGCACCATTCATAGCTCACGTGAATACATACACTCTAGTGTCAACGCGAAAAATGTTGTGAATTTGGTGACACTTACTTTTCAGCACCTTCTATCAGACTTCATCTGCCTTCCGTGGGTCTTCATCAACTGCCCTCTTTTCACTTGGCTTGAAAGCTGTGCGGCCAAGTGGAGAGAGGGCGATTGATGAAGTGGAGTGAAGGGTATTCATGAATTTCGTAGAAAAAACGCAGGCACACCCACGTAACTTTTATCTAAACAGTAGGATCACAAAGGTGTTACGAAAATTGTCACACTTCAGGTAGGTTTTCATCAGATTTGAACTGAGTTAGGAAAGGGTTCGATAATTCGTAAGTATGTTCAATACAAAGCATTATTTACCGACGGACCTTATACTTGATGGTGAGTAAGCTTTGCTCAGTGACACATATCTCAGTTCATTGCTTTATTTCTTAAAAATACGACGTAAATTCTGTGCTGAACGCTAACAAGCAACCCTTCAGTTGACTTTGCTACTGTTGTTTATTGTGTTTTGAGCTTTATTATCACACCTCTTCATTGATGTAGCATTTCTGCGCCCTTCTTCGTAGTGCTCTGTTTGATGATGCTAGCTTTTTGTTCCGTGAGTAATCAAGTACTGGTTGCTGTTTAAATAATATTTATTGCTTTTTGCTCGCCTGATCTCAAATATTGAGTGCCATGCGGGTATAGTTCACAGTTATTCTGCGAAATATATTATAGAACTAATAAAGATTTTTGCTGATTGCTAACCTTCCAAAACCACTAGATTATCCAATTGTGAAATAAATCATTCTTTCACATGTAGCGAACTCCTTTGAGATCGCTACTTATAATTCAGAATGGAACTCAATCCAGTGGTTGAAGGGATCGTCCCCTGCGGAATTCTTGTATTCTTCCTTGATGAAACTTCAGGTGTGATTACTAGAGGCAATGTACAAAGTTTCAGCGAGAAGATTTAGTTTCCCAAAAGAAACACACGAAAATCATGCTATGGACGGGCGAGGGTTGACCGGGCAGAAACAAGGGAACACATGAGAAGAAGTGCGCCTTAGGGGGTCCACGTATCAGCTACAGAAACAAAACGATCGCTAGGATGGGATGCAGTAAAGAGAGAACTGTTATTGCCATAGGTGTAAATGTCCGAAAAAGCTCTTAGAAAAGGTAGTTCAAGAATCATGTGAAATCGTTCCCACCACCAACATTTGCGACATGTGCAGCGGGAGTTTGAACGCGGACAGTGCTTCGACTTTTTCTAATCGTTTACGAAAGAAACAGAAGTTGTCATTCTTTTTGTTCTTATCGCTTATGGTGTGTCTCTGGCCAGCGATTCAATGGGTGAATAGATAGAGGCATGATTTTTGGATGCTTCCTTTACAAGCGGTTGATAAGTTGGATGTTCAAGAAGGGGATGTGCTTCGAAAGGATGGCAGACTCCTCACGTATGCGTGTTGAGCCCGCCCCCTACGACAGGTTTCGTGCTCAGGATCAACCGCCGGTTGGAAATTTAACAACGGCGGCTTTGGTATTCGGCACACCAAGAAGGGATAATTGTCAAAAGAGTAAGTATGTACTTGACCACCGATTCAAGCGAGCCAGGCTCTATCAAGATCAATGGTACTGAGCTCACACGTACAACAACATTCAAGTATCTTGGATCAGCAATCGCGGCTGGCAGCCTGGTTTTTGAAACGAATTCTCGCGTGAATGCAGCTGGTCGAAATGGCGCTTGATGACTGGCGTTCGGTGTGATAAGAATAGCATACTAGAACGACTTTAATGCACGCTGCGCAATTAAGCGCGCTCGTCTGTTCCATCCAAGGGGTAGTAGGCAGGTGGACAACTATTGATGTC